CCCCCCCCTTCCCCCAAACCAATTTTTTAATAAATCTGTGTATATGGTGGCAAACTTTGAAGATAAAACGTATATGCTTGTGTACTGGATGGAAAATGGTACATTGACCCCTCCCCCATAACTAACTTGCTATACCCCTGATTTGATCTAATATGCTACACACACACTGGAGGCGAAAATGTTATTTATACTTATTTCTAGATTAAAAACAACAATAAAATAGACCTTATTTGTGGTGTGACAATGTTTTCCCAATTCAGCGTGACAAACCTCTAGAGGGTTCATTTTCTTTTGTTTTTAACTCTTCGAAAAATTCATGAGTACCCCAAAGGATACGAAAGTATAACGATGATATCCCGACAAGTTTCAAAACAGTAGCTGTTCATTCCCCCAGAGGTTCGTCAAGTTCAATTGGGAAAACATTATCACATCACGAATATGGTCTATTGTAGGTATTCTGCAAGCCATTTTTATTTGATTCTTTTAGACTTTTACTACATGTGTAGATTATGAGTCAAAACAGTGCAAATTAACAAAAAAAGGTAAAAAAGAAAGACATTTTTCACTATTTTGTTTTGATATTCAGAATTAGATGTTATCATTCACTTTTATTCAGTTTTTTTYCCATGTTTATTCACACTATCTGTCTATATATTTATTTAATCATGCATTCGCTCTGCACACATTCATTTATTCACTTTTATTATTTTGCATTCATTAAATCATTCTTTCACATTTATTCTCTGATGTCCATACATTCATTCACTATTTTTTCACTTTCATTCTTTTATTAATTTATTCACTTTCATCGAGTCATTCTTTCCTATTTTTTTCTATTCCCATATATTCATTCATTAATTCATGGATGCATGCATCCATTCATTCACTCATTCATTTTTTTTTTTTTTTGTTTTCCAGGTATTCTTCCTGGACATTGGTACGTCTATGATTCATCCGCCTTCAAACTCTTCAAGGCGCTAAAAAACCACACCGAAGCTACTGCAGTGTGTGCTGCTAACGGAGGTCAACTAGCTATCATCAACAACGAAAATGAACTCTTGTCTGAAGTTCTTCTACCAAAAGTTACGAAAGGTTACCAAAACAGAATGTGTTATTTTTCTCATTGAAGAAATTGCTTGAGTGTAAAGATGTAATAATAGCTTACCTTTAATGCTTATCCTTTAGATCCAAAAGCAATTATCCAAGGTCTGAAGCCCTTGATACACTGGAAACTTGATGGAAGTGACACWGATGTGGTGTAAGTATTCAAACAAACAGCGATAAATAAAATATATTTAGCTTTTAAAGTTTATAACTACACATTTTTGAATGCTTTGAATCAAGCTTAACTTTAATACTGAGGACCAATTCTTAAAATCACTAGCAATAAGTAGAAAAAAGAAGAAAATAAAATATAAGGAATACAACTTACTTACCTTTTAAACCTCTCTGTGAATGTGATGCTCTAGAGAAGAGTAAAAATAGAGAAAATCACTCATAAAGTGCAGCGACTAAAAACTGCTTCAATGATGGCGCATGTACCACAGGCAGCCCGCAWTTTTCCACAGCAAACCCACAAGTAAATCTACATCATTATTTTGAAACTTTATATCCATTTTCATGTGTGGACGGAAAACTTTTTTTTCGGTTTCGGTGTGAAAATTGCGGATTCAAATTTATCCGGCATAGTGTGGACGGGACCTTAGTGTCCATGCTTGAAACTTAAGGCTAATTCTTTCATATTGTGATTGTTAATACAGTATCTTGGTCTGGCAAAAGTACTCTCGAACTTTTTTGTATACTTGGAGAAAACAAACATTTATTTTCTCACTCAAACTCTTCAAAATTCTTAGAAAACGTGCTAAAGTGCACGCATGCGCAAACGATTTTCTCTAGTGTCGTTGATGATAATGGTAGTGATGGTAATGATGATGATGGTGGTGATGATGATGACGAAAATAGTGATAATGATGGTGGTGATGATGATTATGATGATAGTGAAGATGATGNTATTATAGTTCTGTCCTAAAACGTAATCTTAACGTAAACAAGATGGCCGCTCCTACTGAGCCGGTCAGCGGTATCTAACTCGTGTCCAGGCCCTAGTGGCCAGTAGAGAACTCTTCAATTATTTTCAAACATTATATCCGTTTTCACGTGTGGACGGAAAACTTTTTTTTCGGTTTCGGTGTGAAAATTGCGGATTCAAATTTATCCGGCATAGTGTGGACGGGGCCTTAGTGTCCATGCTTGAAACTTAAGGCTAATTCTTTCATATTGTGATTGTTAATACAGTATCTTGCAATTAATTGGTCTGACAAAAGTATACTCTCGAACGTTTTTGTATACTTGGAGAAAACAAACATTTATTTTCTCACTCAAACTCTTCAAAATTCTTAGAAATCGTGCTAAAGTGCACGCATGCGCAAACGATTTTCTCCAGTGTCGTTGATGATAATGGTAATGATGGTAATGATGATGATGGTGGTGATGATGATGACGAAAATAGTGATAATGATGGTGGTGATGATGATTATGATGATAGTGAAGATGATGATAGTGGTGGAGATGATGATGATAGTGATAACGATGATGGCTTTAGTGATAATGATGATAATGGTGGTGATGATGATGATAATAGTAATGATAATTATGGTAATTACTACTTTTTCCTTACTAAAAGATATCCCATTTTCTCCTCTCCTTTAGTTTATACGGAGATGCAGTCTTCAAGAAAGGTGTCAAYGACCGCTTCCCTGCCCTATATCTACCAGGCAGTGAGGGCTCATATGCTACAACCCCAGCTTTAGACATCACTGATACCAGTATGACTATAGCACTATGGATAAAATTGGATTCTACTCCTTCCTCCAAATATTTCCTTTACTCATACTGGCACGATCCACAAATTTTTACAATTATAGTTTATAGCAATGGAGGTATAGGGACATTCTATGTAGAGGCAAAGACGAAGGGAGGTCTAGACAACACCGTCCAATCTTTCTCTTTTGGAGAAGGGTACGTTTAAGCCTGCATTAATGCGCTTCAGAACGATTCTATGGGATCAGAAAGCGAAACAAACATGTTACATGTTATGGTGTGCAATTTCAGACCACGTGTCATTCCCCCGAGTATCATCATTTTTGTTTGGATGCAAATGAAAGATTAAGAATCCGAAACATGACCTGAAATGGGCAAAACAAACACCAAAGSTAGAGATTTTTTMTAACCTGTAGCTCCTTCAAATAAGGTACATCTTGAAGCCAAAGAAGATAAGAAAACTAGAATTTATTTTTTTATCATTAAACAATAATTTCTGATGTCAAGACCACCCGCTATCTCCTATTTTCGTTTGCTCTAGCCATCTTTTCAAGAAARGGCGTAGGCTCAAAATCTTTATCTTAATAAAGTTCTTTATATTTCAAAAGGTCCGTGGATGTCAACGTCTGGACGCAAGCCGCCTTCACCTTGGACAAAAGTTTGAAAAAAGCCTTTTTCTTCAAGGACGGTGTACAGATGTCATTCGGAACTGGTACTAAAGCGTCCCCTCCATTGCTRCCTGTTCGCAACGTGTTTGATATTGGTCTCAATCGAGGTGCTAACTCAGTCATGACAGGCTGGATAAAGGATCTTATGGTATTCAATCGAGCGCTGACGATCGGGGAAATTAGGAGTATCAAAGGTGAGGTAAAATAAAGTGTCCTAATTTCCCTTACAATCAGTCGACTAGAGCTTCTTTACTAACGTACTAAATGAAAAATGAGGTCCAGATACTGAATGAATGGT